AGTAAAACAAGTTCATATTTACGCGATCAGAGCGATAAATGTCATTTTTGATATTAATATAATCTTCTGATTGAATGCAGCTACAATAAAATTAACTTACATGTATGCAAGATTCAATAAAGAATGGGAGGATCTTTGGGAATAGAAAGAGTATATATTAAATACTTATACATGTAAGTGAATATTGGAATTGATCCTATTTTTACCATGACAAAGAATACTTCCTAATATTGCTCCCTAAATATCCGATTGTCGCCCCGAATTCAGCAGCATTTAAGCCGGTTTTTTGTTTGGCTTCCAATTAAGGAGACTCTGCTGCTCTCCGCCGCTGGCAATTAGAATTGCAAATGAAACTGCCAGGCCAGAGCCAAAAATATAAACCAGAACAACCAGAGCGGCGGCAGCTGAGCGTGTGTCAGAAATAAATTTAAAGGGGAGCCCTGATCCGGACCGAACCCAGCCCAAGACGAAGATGAATCCGGAAATGGCACCAAAGTGCGGAACAAGTGGCCGAACCAGTGCTCTTCCAGGGGGATGATGAAACCGGTCCCAAGGATTGCGTGGGTGCTTACAGTTTTTCAATGACGACGATGCGCCCAGAAACAATTTGAGAGTAATGATGAAGAAAGTTGTTACCCGGCGTGTGGCTCATTTGTCAGGGATTGGGATTAGGATGGGGCACTGGGACTGACACTGGGGAGGAGTGGGTTATAATCTAAACTGCTCGTAGAAAATAGGCATGCATAAATTTATATATGTGCAGGAATGGCGTGAAAAATGGATAGGCAGTTTATTTAAAGATGTTTGCCTTTGGATTTTCACTTCTTTCCTGCTCATGCGAAGCGTTCTTCTTGTTATTTTCCATTCCCTGCCAGCATTTAGCAGGCATTATTTGTGGCCTTCTATTGATTTTTGATCAGGGCATAGCTAGAATAGGCCTCATCGGTTTAATTACCCAAATCAATAGACATGAATAAAAGAACTAAAAATATATGCGTATGCTTAAATTATACAAATTGTGGTTAGTCCGCTGACGGTGTAGGTGTACATACATGCGAATCAGGTACAAAAAACAATTGCGCTTTAATTGGCCAATTGACGGGCCACAGTGCCAGCCATTGGGCCAAGAGAGTTACTTCCAGCGGAAGGGGCTAAGAGCTCTAATTGTTTAGTTAAGCGTAGCTGAATATAAATAGAACTTAATGATGGGAGCATATTTTCCAAAAGGCCATATGGCACTTTGCATGACAAATGAGGCGTTCGTTGCCTCACTTCTTGATTCTTCCGCCACCATTACCCGAGGAACGGGTTGACGAGGGTGACGTCGGGTCGGGTGTCAACTCCTCTATCATTTCTCTCCAAATAAACTTTTCCCATTCAAGGCTTTCAACGCTTCCTGGTATCATTTATCTGGAGGGCGCACAGACTTAATAACCCATTTGTTCCCTGATCCCAGAGTCATGACTCCCAGGCATACAAATGGCCAATAAGAGAGGGCCAAGTGAGACATGTGCCGCGGAGCGTAAAAAACGTTAGGAGAACGCACGGAAACGACCTTGCCAGCCGGCAAACATTTGACTTCTAATTAAGCTTCAGCGGCAAGAAAACAAAAATTCTCACAAGGCGATGATTAAGCGCCCACGTACGGCGTAGCCAGGGAGGAGGAGGAGGAGGAGGAGGAGGAGCTGCTGCCACCCACCCTCGGATGGCCTTCATTCCGTATGCGAGGGCTAATCAAATTGGGTCTAGTCCCTGTCTGCGCCGTGTGTCTTTTGGCCTTACAGGAGTGGCTCAAAAACTGCCTCGGCTGCGCTATGTTGTTTATCAGTGGTGTCTGCCTCTAATGTGTAAGTGTGCCAAAACTGATTGCATAATTATGCAAATTCCCCGGCACAATATACGTCTAATGAATTACTCAGACTCATACCCGAAACTCAGTTCCCAGTTCCCATTTCCCCCCCAAAAAGCCAGAAGTGATGGCCAGGGCTCTTAGTCAGCAGTCAAGAGGCTGAAATGTAAACAGTCAGTGGCCACAGAGAATGGGAAATTGATCAGAAGTTTGAGGCTTTTCTCCTTCTTCTCGCAGAGTTTTTCTTGTTGTTAATGATTATACAATAATTTGCTATTGTTTTTGGTCTTTGTTTAGGGAGTGAGTTTTGGTAATTACATTTGACTTCAGTCACAGGGGGAGAAGTGTTATGGATTAATCGAATTAGGTCTGAGTGTACGACAACAGGCAGGACAATTAACAGGCATCGCTTCCTCATTGCCAGCTGCAGGACTCGGGCTTATGCACAGAGAGAAACTGTGATTTATATTTGCCTAGGAAAAATGCTTCTTAAATTGAGATTTTACATTGTCTGCATTATAGTTAATTATAATGACAGATACAAAAAGGAAGAATGTGGAACATAAACTCAAGTTAAATTTTTTAAATTATTATTTATCGACTTTTTATATGACAATTTGTTCTACAAGTCGATATTTTTAAAACTCATAGCTTGGCCAAAAAAGCATTAATCTTAATTCGGAAAACTGTCCTAAGTTAGTTTTTATTAGGTTAATAAATCTGCATACTGAATTTAACATTTCAAGGAATTCAATTTTTTGTGAAATTTTGACAATTTTAATGATGTAACCTTATAATATTTTCAATTTTCGAAAAAATTTCAAAAATTTATTTTTTGACCAGATAAGGCTAGATCGACTCGGCTGTTGATTCTGATCAAGAATATATATGATTTATAGGGTCGGAAATGACTTCTTCATAGCGTAACAAGCTGTTGACCAAAATTATAAATTATAAATTATGCACTTTGTTTCGCTCTTTGTATTTGCTTCTTGAGCCAAAAAGATATATGTTTCTTCTTTTTTATGGAATCCTTAGTACCTCTGACTCAGCTAATTCAGTACATTCTGTACTTTCAGTACCAAAATCTTTAAGAGTTTTCAGATTTTCTCCTTGGTGTATCGTAACTGCGTTGACAGTAAATTAAACACGCATTAGTTCACCCCCTTGTAGTGACCCTGCACGTGCCCTGTGAACAATTCATAATCGTTAAACCTAATCGCTGAGCTCATTTTCACATTGCCGCGTTGTTTATTTTTCCTGGCATAACAAAACCCACTCGCCAAAGTTCAATCGAAAATAGGATCATAAAAATGAATTAGCGCACGCACAAAAAAGAAAGTAAAAGCAAGAATTTTAACAAAATAAATACGACGGGCACATTAAAACTATATCGACAATAATCATCAATAGTTTTTTTTATTTCTGGGTTAAACAAACGTTGCATAGGGAAAATAATGAAAAGGCTGCCCCACCCGGGATGGCCCACCTTTTATTTGCATTGCGGGCGACGACGGCTGAGCTAAATTTTGAAAAGAAATTCACGCTGAGAATGTCGCTGGCACTGTTTATTATGGCTGTGAGTCAACTGTGCGACACAAGTCGCGGGCATTTCTTATTCCGGCGGCGTTCCTGCGATTGCAAATGCGATCGCGATTGTCCCAAAAACAAAATAAAAACACGAAACTAAAGTCAAAACAGCCTAAAATTCGAAAAAATCGAAAGGCGCCACACACGCGTCTGGCAAATCAAATGGACAGGCTGGATGGACTGACTTAATTTGCCCCTCATCTCCCCGATAATTCGATGGACAGCTCCATGGACGTGTTTGACCGCATACTTTTCTTTTTTCCTTTTTTTGGCCCCCGTTCGGTTTGCTTTTCTTTCCAGCCGAGCGTAATTAGGCAGAGCAAGGCGTAAAAAGTGAGACGCTGCCAAACTGCTGGGGGAGGAGGCCAAAGAGATAAAAAAATGGCAACATGAAAGACGAACGCATAAATCACAATTCATACTATTATAAATAAAGACATTTGATTCGGAACCAAGTCTCTTGCCTCTGTCTCGGGCCAAACTGACCAAAATAGCAAAGCCCAATCAACTTGTGATGCAGGCGGAAAATTCTTGAAATGAAATGCCGGGCCTCTGTGGCGTATACGCAATAAATTTTCATATTTCTTATGCCGCTCGCGGCTCGGTCTCTTATCCGATTTGCCCCCAGTTCGCTGGTCTGTAAATGGTGCACTGAAATAACCAGTTTTGGGGAAACAAATTATGTTTGAAAAATATTTAAAATTTAAAATGAAATGTTATTTTCCATATATATATATAAATAAGAATATAGTACTTAATGCAGTGCCGGAGATAAGTCTGTTAAACATTTATTAGAAATTCTTTTATAGGTTTATTAAAGAGCTTTTAAAAAATCGCTAAAAATACATACATTTTTTAAATTATATTATCATTTTCGAAGACCATTGGGTACTTTTTCAATAACCATCATTTTTCCCAGTGTTGTTTTACAAACTTTATAATACATAAAAAAAGACACGTTTATCTAAGAATTATCAAAATCACTCTTTTCTGTAATAAACCTTTTACGATGTGTATCCCTCATGGGACACAAATATGTTACTTTTAATTTAATAATCATCATAAATGAAGTATATTTTTTCCTGTGTATGATGAATACGGTTTGGAGAAAGGGGCTCGGGTGCGCTGAGCCCACATATGACGTAGAATGCTAAAGAGTCGACTGCCAAAATTTATAAACAAGCAAAATTGAGCCTGGCTAAGTCGACCTAGGTGTGCGTATTAAATATGTTTGGCATTAAATTTGCGCGGCAATACGGATTGTAAACAAAAGGCACCCGAAGAGCGCCAACAGATGTTGCATTTATTTAATGAGCCGTCGATGGGCGGTGGAGGATGGGCAATGGGCGCTGGGCGATGAGGTGTTGGAAATGTGTTCTTAAGCAAATAAAACCTCATATTTATACAACTTATTCAGGGTATTTTTGGATCGGCCGAACGTGAGTGGTTAAAATGAGCTACGAAAATTCTGTGACATCGCTGGGGGAGTCGGAGTTGGAGTGCTTCTCGCGAGGTCACGATGTGATAAGAAGGGAATCCGTTTCGGATTCAAGAAGCTCACGCCTCGCCACACTTTTCGAGTGTGGTTTCAAGCCGCCACTTGAGTGGATGAGGACGATCTTGATCATTGGAATAATGACGATGACTGGGCAATCGCACAGGCTCATTCTGAGTAGTGGCATTAATTTGTCAATGTTTATATTTTGAAATCAATAATATCAGCAAAATAAACATTATTAATAATGATGCGTGAGCACAGTTCAATGGAGAGTCAGTCAGGGCGATAGAGTTATACAGAGAACCATTGAAACGCGTATGCTAATGTCGTTGAAATAATCACGTTTGCTTTCAATTATTTGATCACATGTTAATGTTAATATGGCAGAGGTGGGATTTACAAATACTAACCAGAACTCTGTCAAAATTAAACTATTTAAAGGAAACTGGATCCATATTCAGCAAACACTATAAACACCTTTACACGTGTTTGGCCCAATTTACTTTTCACATTATCAAGAGCAGTACTTGTACGAGTTAAACTCAATATCATTATCAGAAACACCTTCACTTTGTTTACACACACCGCATGTGTAGACTTACCAAGCAAAAAAGCCGGGCGGAATACCCAAGAATCTGTCTGAAAGACCGGCCGGGATCGGATGAGATGCTGTGGAGGAACTGTTCCGTCTGCCCGCGCAATGCATCCGATGGCGAGTGCATTAATTTCCGATGTCAAACTTCACGGCAACACTTAACGCAATACGTTTATTTTTTTATGTTTTGCATGTAATTAAAAGCATTAACACGACGCCGACGACAACCGCAGCCAGCTGACAACGTTGTTGACATTAATGTCAGCCGCAAAGTGCAGGCCGCCGACGGAGGAAAATCAGCCACAAAGACGTGAAAAATGGAACTGAGGCATACACCGAGTGAGATGCACCTGTCGTCGCCTGATTCTATTTCCCAAAATTTTCGATTCCAGAACTAACTTTCTCTGGCAGGCCCCACGATCCGACCAACCGCTCGACGGCAAGTTTTCCAAAAGACTAACAGCGCGGTTTTCTAGCAAACAATTTTCATACGCCGTGTTTGCCGGCATGGCCAAAACAACTGGCCGCAAAGCTCCCTTGGCTTGGCACCACCGCCGAAGCTCTCTCGGATCCAAGCTAGTCGAGAGCTTTGCCACTCGGTTTTCCCTCCTCCTCCTCCGCCGGTCGCTAGTCATTTTGGCGCGAAAAGCATTCCATGGGCTTTTATGAATGGGAGCCAAGTGCTTTGCCACTTGGAAATTGGAGGAGATTGTAGGAGGGCGTATGTGTAATCAGGAGAGGAACTACTGAGTGGAGGGGAGTGACGCAAGGTGAATGGAGGAGTGCGCGTAAAAGCTGACTTGCAATCACATATAATACAGGGTGTTGCTTCAGAGAGTCTTTAGAATATAATAGTCGCTCGATCAATACACAGGTAAGTAGATAGGTAACATCTAACAAATGTATCTGTTTATTTTTTTTTAAGTGTTCTTTATATTTTAAAAAGCTTGAGTTGATATAATACCAGACTATAGCAATTAAAAAACCAATATTTTTGTAAAGAACAGTATGTACATTTAACAAGAAGATGCGTTTTTTATTTATTTATTCATGTAATATAACATAATTCAGGTGAATTAAAAAAGAAATAAAACTAACTTCGGCAAGCCGAAATGAACTTTAGGATAAAATCAAAAATCTATCTTAACAAAGCTTACAATTTTCTTTGAATCGATATATGACAATTTTGTAGACAAATCAATGTTTGAAAATTCTATAACTTTGTCAAATATCGATAAATTTCAATTCAGAAAGCTTTCCTATACTAGTTTTTATTGGGTTAATAAATCTGCATACGCAAATTGTCATTTTAAGAAAATCGATTTTTTGCCAATTTGTGACAATTTTAATGATGTAACCCCTTATTAAATTTTCAAATTTAGAAAAATTTTCAAAAATGTATTTTTTACCAAACATGGCTAGATCGACTTATATCAACTTATACACTGAAAAAAACTACTGCCGTCAAGTTTTAAATATAAATGTGTGCATATTGTAAATATTTTTAAGTATATTTTTATTTAAATTATTTTACTTAATGAAGACTGAAGTTCTTGTGAACCAATTTTAATATAAACCATAATAAATCGAAAATCAATTCATTTCTTATTACATTAGCGAATACCTTATATTTTATTACTGTTTCTTAAGAAATTTGCAATAGGTTATCATAACGTTCCTGTTTCTAAAGAATATTCAACTAGTTGTTGAAATGCATCTTGTTTATCTGTTATTATCATTAGTCACCTAACGCCTTAATGCAAGAATAGGCTTCGCACAAACAAAATGAAATGGAAATCCACATGACAAATCTAATACACGACATTAAAATAACAGCTTGTAAATAAATAAATTTATGTTTCTAGTTGTAGATTTGGATTAAGAAAATTCAATGCTTGATATACTAAAATAAAGAAAGCTTTTTCATGATATTTATATACTATTAGTTCTGTAGTTTTGGGAATATTAAATTTCAATAAAAGTGATCATCATCATACAATACTTTGACCCAGTCGACTGTTATCAAAAAAAAGTTCCACACGCCGCTAAACCTATTCGTGCTGATTAAAAACTTATAAAGCATTCGTCAGCATGCACTTTGGATTTTTAAACTTCGAAAGAAAATTTCTATCTAATCAAGGCGGTTCCAGTTTTGAGGAAACAATAAATGGGATTTCCTTGTACCTACTGTTGAGCCAACTCAATGTGAACTGGCGAAAATAGTCAAAATAAACTTATCGGGGCAATAATAACCAAAATGAGCAATCTAAACAAAATAATAGCCGACTGGATTTCCCAGGCCCCAGACGCCGCAGTATCAGGCACCTGGCAGCATTTTATTTGGCTTCTTGAAACTCAATCAGATATACATTTTCTAAGTGGTTCAAGCAAACGAGTCTATCTGTACTCATAGGACTGATAATCAAGTCCTTTACTTACGAAAACACTCTGACTTTATTAATTCACTGTAATCTGCATTATTTTGTATACTCTACACTAACTATCCGAATCATAATTGAATAATATAAACAGCTTCAAAGTTCAGGAAAAAACCCACTAAAGAGTCTCAGACTTCTGAGTCACGATCTGCGCTAAAGTCAAGGAGTCTGCATGCCTACACCTCGTGGGATTTGGGAAAGTTTGTTTTTTTTTTTTCAATTTTCTCGGTAATACATATAAATTACACATATACATTTTTATTTCGTTTTTCCCTAATGGTTTTAATCTCTGAGATTGATAGAATATGGAATGGAATACTTTATAGAAGAGATCCCGGAAAATGCAGGGCCTTCTCTTAGGTTCTGAGAAATTTAAATATATCACTAGAAAAACATCGGATATATATCCGATCCAGCCTTGCATTTTGATCTTGATTAATTATGTTTCAATAAGAATTTGTTCAAATATACCAAAATTCTATATTTTCACAGCATATTCATAGGTTCTATGTGTAAGTTTAAATAAATTATAAACAATGAGTTTTCTTATTGTTGTGTTATTTAACTAGTCGATTTGGCTTCCGTATCCTGGCTAGTCTGCAGGTCAACCTTGCTTTCTAGAGGAGCAGCTGATGCAGATTCAGTATCTAGTGGAGGTGCATTTGGCTCTGTAACTTGCTTTCAAGATCAATTGGAGACTGGCTATCCCCTGGCGCCTCCTCAGCTGAAGGCTGGATTTTCGGCTGAGGAGCTGGTCTTCGGTTCGGTAGAATCAAACTCTCTAAACCGCCACAAGGAGCTTCGATCAGAATGTAAAGGACATAGGCAAGCAGCACAGAGAAACCAAAGTCCTGCCAAAAGCGCAGCATCTGAGGAAAGGGTTAACAATGAGCTTATCATAACACAATCTCTGGTTGATTACTCACAATATCGTAGTTCGAGAAGTAGGTGTTGACACGCGTTCGTCCTCCATTGAGGTTCTGTATGAACAGATGCCCCATATAGACGCAGAAGGACAGTTTCGAGAGTGGCTGCCACAGCGGCGAGGTGAGGAAGGAGTTGGCCAGACCCCCATATCCCTGCATGCAGGCAAAGACCACCCAACTCAGACCCAGGGGCCACGCGATCCTGGAGAGCGACACGTAGAAGGCTTCGTTAAGGATTGGCACAGTCTTGCTCTTTCCCATTCCATAAGGATACATGGCAAAGATACAGGTGAGAAGCAGAGCTAGACTGGTAATCCATCCCACCCAGACGGTGGGGCGGTTCAGCTTAAAGGACTTTCCGCGAATCGAGTGCAGGAAGTAACCAAACAGGAAGCCAACCAACCAACCGGAAGCCCTGGTATGTGTGTAGTGCGACAGGTCAGTGCTGCCACCGCCATCGGGTCCACCGCCTCCGCCTCCGTTTAACCTTTATAAATTAAATTCAATAACTAAGACTAAATCTTTTTGAAAGTGTTATACAAGCCTTACAGTGAGTAGTTGTTTATCACCATTATGCTGAAAAGGTAGGCGGCCAGTCCGAGCATTAGGAGGAGAACCAGTGCAGCTCCCTTCTTGCCCCACTTGTACACAACAATCAGCAAGATGGGGGCAATGATGTAGAGCTGCATGTCGATGGCCAGGTACCAGGTGTGAGCCAGGCACTACACAACAAGATTATGTTTAGAAGGGTTATTTAATTGTGAGCTGAGAACCACCCACCTCCTTGTCAGTAGCATAGTTCTGAATGTAAATCAAGGTCCAATACCAGTTTTTGTTGCAATTATCGTAGTTATCAAAGTTCCAATTGCCGTACAACGGCCCATCACCCATCAGAGGCAAAACCTTCAGATAGATAAGGATGGACACGGCCACGATGGGCGTCAACCGTAGATAGCGATGCAGATACATCAGTGGAATATTTAGTTTTCCCTTGGCCCTAAAATGATTGGCTGTAGGAAGGTATAGTGAAGCCTGAAGTAGACATACCTCTCCATGGCTCGGAGAGGAACCATGGCCACAAGTAGACCACTGATGAAGAAGAATGTGTCCACAGCAAACACTCCCTCGTAGATGACGTCCATGAACGGTGTCTTGGCCCACTGTGAATGGATACGATCAAGGATCAATCCCTAATTGGGTGTGAGTTCAGATTTCCTGCACTCACCGTGTACACATCATAAAGGTTGATATTGGGCGATGTGATGCCAATAATATAGTCATGACCATAGCAAACCCAGATCAAGGACATGCACCGAATTCCATGGAGACACTCGATCACATTTGGATTTGATGTCGTGCTAACCCGAAAGAGTGACCGGGAGTTGGCACGGGCCGAGAAAACTTTCAGAATGGGTGGTAATTTTTCTAAAAAGTAAATAAAATTAAGGAATAAATAAAAATATCCTTTTAAGGCTAATCTTTTGCATACTTACTTTGATCCTCGCATAAGAAATAGTCGTAAAGGGTAGCCAGACCTACGGCTGCACCAAACACAGACAGCAAAACGCTGTTGATAGGGATAAATATTAATTAAAACTATTAAGAAGAATATAAATATTTATTACTTACATTGTGAAAACGGTAACACCATCGTAGGCCTCTCTCTCAGCGGTTTTGCAGGTGCCTTCGCTGACCAGATTCACATTGTCACTCAATTCCAATCCGATTAGCTGCTGGAAGACCCTGCGGAGCAGTGTGTCCATGTTGGTGGCAGAGCAGGCGGAGGGAAAGCAGACAGCCGTTTGGACATTCAACATTCTCATCATCCCTCCGGCATTACCCAGTAGTTGCTGGAGCGGCAGCTGGGCCAGACAGTACTTTCCCAGCAGGGTATAACTGGAGACCACGGTCTGCTCAATGGCCACGCACTCGTCATAATGGCCAAGATCCTTGAGATGGCCCTTAAGGATACCAGCCGGTATCGATCCCCAGGAATCAATCACTAATCACAAAAGACGTATTTATGTAGTCATTCGCTGGGATTATATAATCTTTTACTCACTTCTAAAGGCCCAAAGTTCGCCGCTTACCAATCCGGCGGTAAGTTGGGCAAACTGCGCATAGCACTGCAGATCCTGGGCAGTGGGCAGCCGCGTTTCGGGCACCAAGTCCTCCAGAGTCACGTTCTGGTAGTAATTGAAGAACTCTTCCGATAAATGCCGCATCCTATTCAGTCGCTGGTAATCCTCAACGTCCAGTTCGAGGTTTTGGTTAAGGTCCAAGTCCAATTTGAGGGCGCTGGCCAGAGCCAGGCCAAAAAGGAGCAGCACTACTTCTGTGATTCTTACCATATCTGTGGACTTCCAACCACCGAATGTTTCACATCCGGACTAGAGCAACCCTTTTTATAACCGATCGCTGGCATAGCCATTGGATGTCTGGCAGTCGTCTGAGATAAGGATTAGTAATATATGGGCCCTTTCGATTAGTCCAATTTTCGTGACTCTGCAATCTGTGAAAGGCCTTTTAGTACGAATTTGTATTGATTGAAATCTTCTCACGTAATCTTTTGTTTTTGCATATTATGGGGGGCTAGATTATCTTATCAATAAAATAACTTCTTCGATCACTTTAATATTCTAAGTTCCTGAGAACAATAAACTAATATTTATGATCGTAGAAATTTTTACTTTATTGTATCGATTATAGGTCAATTTTTTGCAGAACGGAAACGACCTTGTCCTTGTTCTTGATAACTACATATTTCCACAGCACCAAGTGATTGTACTTCGCTAGTCACTGCTTAACAATACATTCTACCAAACATTTCCATATCTGCTGGTGGTTCGAACGCACTCATGGCGTTGGTCTAGGGGTATTTCAGGTATTATTTATAATTCTGTGATTAAGTAGATCCGATCAAGCCGGAAAGTTGATAGCAGCTGTATATTGGTTATCTGATTTTTGCAATTAGTTGACTTGCATACAGCGAGTTTCCAATAACTGGATCTGCCGGCGCACTGCAGCCTGTCACTAATAACATATAGCCAACTTTATGAGTCTGCTTCTTTAATGTTATTGTAATTGATCACATATATCATTTCAGATCAGATTTTATGTCTTGATTGGTTTAATGTTGTAAATTACATTTACTTCCTGAAGAAAGTCCGTTACACTACACTAACATTATCTGCGGGCCTGGAATTATGATGTGAAGTTCCTTTAAGATCCCTGTTCCTAATCCCTGGGAAGATCTCTGGAATGATGACAAACTCTGATCAAGTGATGATAATTAGCAACGTCCCTGATTCACAGACTAAGAATTTGTAAAAATGCCAACAGTGAGATTTAGACTTGTTTCCATTTCTTCTGCCATTTGACTTGCAAATGATTGAACTTTCCGTTTTCACTGTGATTTTGAAAAAATATATATCTATTTTGACATTGCCTGTAATCTAAAGTCTTGAATTTTCCGAAGAAGTACAAAAGTTTGCTACCGGTAATCACCAATAAGGCAAAGTTTACTTGTCCCGAATCTTATCAATATCAATAATCGCTTCTGTCTTGCCTATTTAAAATTCCTAAAACCCCCCTCAACGATTTATGATGTGGGTTAATATAGGTTTGCATGTGAACAATGGTTTAGAAGAATGGTTTTTAAGAAGCTGTCGCCATAGTCAAAGTAAGGAATAGTGTCATAGTTAGTTATTAATTATAATTGCTTGTAAAAGCAAAGAGCTTCTAAAAACTACCAAACTTAAAGGCAGTGGTCCACTTATAAAAAACCATCATATAATATTAATAAATGCCCAGCATAGCTATGTAAAAATGCTTTTAAAATATTATTAATTAATTTTATGTATTAGTTGATATAATGATAGCTAGATTTGTATGAATTATGGCTGGTTTCCGAGATCTCAGGTGTTTTTAATCGGTTAGTTTACAGTGAAATATCGATTTGCTTATTACAATCACCTCATTAACATCGGGGCGACATTTGCATTTAACATGCCCAAGTGGCCCGTCTCCGAAGCCACGCCTATGAGCTAATATGACCAGATAGCTGGCCTGCAGCTCTAATGATAGTTTAATTGGCCGCATAATTCAATTTGAATTGGCCCAGCTGTCCGGGTGACGCGACTGGCTCTCGGCTGTGGGGAAGTGCTCGCCCAGACTCGCCACTTCCGTGCGCGCTGTGGCCAGATTCTTGCAAGTAAATACCCGCCGGACACTTGACACGTTCGCTCGCAATTGAGATGGTTATGATTGCGGCACGCATGTCGGCGCAAAAGCGTCGCTGTCATTGTCATGTCCAACACGGCGAATGCGCAACAAGCGGACCTAATCGAAAAAAAAAACGCCAAAATCGCACAGATCACAACAAAGTCGACATCAAAAGAACAATATCGATCAGCCGAATGCGAAAGCAATCAGCGCCGTCGAATTGTTTAGATTCGACAGACGGTTGTCCGCCTGCCGCCTACCGCCTACCGCCTGCCCGTCAGCAGCTGTTAACAGTAAATTGTCCCGCTCCGCGTCGACTTGTTTTGTTTAGGGAAATACTTGTCGAGGCGAAAACGAGTTGGACAGCCCCCCTGCAACAGTACACTTAGGAAAAAGCATATGTCAAATGAGAATCTGTAGTACAAGATTAAAGAAATATTCTGAGACTTGAAGTATTTAAGTATAAAGAATAGAAATATGTTTAAAGATAGTTTATTTAAAGCACTTTTAATATAGATTAAAAATATTTCTTTGTACTCTATATAGAAGAAAGTATCCGAAGTCCTTCTAACTTTTTTAAATGAAACTTTAAAATGAAACAGAAATAAAAACGAAGGAAACCCACAACTTCTTTATCACTGTCCTCAGCACTTCAATGGTGTCCATTTTTATTCACCGGAACCGGATATACCATTAAAGAGAACCCTTATGAGCCTTAGACATCTTTTCTCTCAAGAGTTATATGCTTGACTTTTAATCTTTCACCAGATATTTAGTTGTTCTTCTATTTACTACTAGTTATTGAATTAAAAGATGCTAATATTTTCTTTCTCTGTATAATATCCGCAGTATAAGTTCGTCACAATCATGCCTTAAACAGCTCTAATCGGGCAAATCAACAAAAACAAAATGAGAACATAGTAGACGACTACGGAGGCAGTTTCGAAGAATTGTTCAACGAACAAACAAACGCGATGGATGGATGCGTCACACTTTCTTTTTGGGGAAGTCCGGATGCGATGCCAGCCGACTAGCAGCCGGTTCCAAAGGTGCCTCCTCACGGCCGCTGACGTTGCGATCTGGAAACGTGACTCGGGTGTGAAGTAAGCGGAGATACGTATCTTGGCATCCCGCAGATACACAGATACAGATACGGTCAAAACAGAGAGCTGCGGGCTAATCTTAATTGGTTCAGAGCTGATATTGGGCACTCCTTAACTTTGGTTTTATTCACATTTATAGAATTCAATTAGATTTCGTTAATCGGTTAATTAACAGTTCTTGCTGATCACTTTTTAAGCACCAGCCTCATGTCCGATGTCGTAACATTTTGCAGGAGTGAATCACATACCCAAATTCCCATTAAACTGAACTTAATGTGTGTTGTGACCCAAATCTCCCTGTGAATCCTTTTGTTTCAAGCTTCAAAAAAAGCCCCCAAAATGCCGTCTTTATTCGGTAAATGTGCTTTGAATGCGAAACATTTAATTAGTAAATGAAGTAATTGAAACAAGGAAGTTAGTACTTTTTATGGAACGCTTGAAATGTGTAGGAAAAAGTGTGTTTTTTTATGGTCAAGCAGCGTTTAAATTGCCAGCCAAGTTGCAGCCAATTATTTTTATTATAACAAATAATATACTGCTTGCATTAGTTACACATATTGCGATAATAACCACGTTGAAAAGGAATTAAATAATATACTCGGCACTTGGAATATTTACATAATTAATAAATAAATATAAGAGTTGATGATTGGTATTAAAATGGAAGTGCTTCTCAACTTAAACTTGCATTCATGAATTTTAATCTGAAATTAATTCCAGGCTAGCTGTCATATTTTCTTTTATTCAAAATCAATTGAATAATCCCATGAATGCAAATAATTGATCGGTAATTATTTAAATACTCTTAACAACTTCACCCGCATCGCTTTTGGGATCTCTTAGATTTGATTCTTGCACGGAACACTCAATAATCTGCTAATTAATAGTCGATTTTTTAGATTTCTGAACAAAATTCGAATGTGCAAAAGGGGCTGTCTTTAAGCGTTTAATCAATTAACCTTGATACTGCAAACAATTATGGACTTTAGACTTGTCTGCCGTACTTATGATGTCCAAGATTTCCAGGCGCCTGAATGCATTCATAAGCATTGGATACTTATTGAGTAATGATTGATTTAAAAGTCAGGAGTGGGGGTTTCAGGCGCCTCAACTGCAAATTTTCACACTGACTCCATAATGGGAAGCACAACATGACTGCTGTTACTGGCATATATCAATATCCCTCTCACATCGAGTGTGTAAATTTGTATGACAGCTACAGCTACGATCTACAAATTGCAGTTTCTCTAATTCTGATGCTCAGTTCTTATTTATAATTCCATTTTTAATTACGTTTTTACTTTCGCACGGTTCAAAGGAGCGAATTAAATCGCAATCTAAATGCCATAAATTGCAATTAATCTTCGAAAGAGTCTCAAGCATGGCCAGTCGTAAATTCGACTATTTCGCAATAACAAAGAAGGAGTTATGGTTGTAATACATACAATAGCTATGTATAATATAATAATAAAGACGCATTTCGTAGTAATAAAGTTGTAAAAATACTAACAGTCAAGTTTAAAATTTAATATGGCTTTAAAATGCCAAATCAGTAATGTTTTTGATGGGTAGAAACAAACAGACCGTGATGGGAACTATCAAAGTATTTAAACTCACCTACACATGTCTCCCTACCTTATCTAATTACAGATCATTTCCAATTATTTTCTAATTATGAACAAATATTAGAACATTTTTTAAGCACTTCTTTTATATATATTCTTATTAAGAATACGTGGAATTTGATAGAATATGATTCTTATACAAATATATATATACCTATCGAATATCTGGTTGCTTGAATCCGATTCCTGGTTACCCTCCGAGAGTTTTACGACAATATTCCAGGCCATTAACCTCTGACTTTTATTTCAAGGGCTCTTGTTTTTACAGCTTTCGCTTTAGTAACAACAACTACTCGCTGTAAATATAGTAAGAATGTAATATTTAGAAATAAGAATAAAATGAACGGCTTATGTAAAGATAGTTTGGAAATTGAATCAAATAAACAATTAAATAATGATAAAGTATGCAAACAAACATTAATTAGAAGAGTGAGGAAAGTAATATCTTAATTTATAAGTTTAGATTTTTTTAATAGCATTATTAAGTACAAATAACTACAACAGTTTAGCTAACTAAACCTATCCCGAAGGACAGATCAATTGAAATATGGCTTTCTATATGTTCGTTATCTAAAGTGTTATTCCACTTTCATCGAGCCGCTTGCTAACGTAGTCTGCGTCATCCGAGGGATTTCCAAGTGTCTAGTAGATAGAAAAAACAAATCTAAACTATGTGTTTTGCCTGGCAATTAGCAAGAGTGCGGGGACTGCCAGGAATTTCATTCCATTTCCTACGTCACAGGGCGCCTGCCCAGCTGAAAATGGCTACCAAACTGAACGAAATTCTAATCCAAAATCCCAACATCCACACATGCCCGGAGCAATAATTGCAGTGGCTGTAAGAGCAGGAACTGGTTTTTTTATATTCTTTTTGTCATTCTGCTGGCCTCTGCCGACGCGGCGCTCTGCTCCGCCATTCTTCATCGCGCTGTGCGCCGCGACTGCGCAGTCAGCTGGGGCAGCGGCAGAGACTGCGAATCGGATCGAATCCGTCGGATATATAAGTTAGTCGGGTGCTGGGATTCTGATTAGTCTGCGAGCGCCGTTTACAAGTACATAGCACGTTTAGTTTCCAGTTGCCAGTTGTGCGTTGCTAGTTTTTTTTGGGCCAACAGCCTGAATTCAGAGTGAAACGCAAGTGAAGTGACCAAAAAGGAACTCTTTTTTTCGAACTGGTAAACTCCAACTTGTCCATTACAAAACAAAAAAAGGACATTGAAACCGTGCTCAGTGTGAAGCGGCCGCAGATAAAGAGATTTGAAAGAGTAACCCAACACTGTTCAAATTACCAAGTGACAGAATTCTTAATTATCTTAATCGGTACGTATACGTGATATTCAAGAATTTATGAAAATTTTCCGAAATTATTTTATGCAAATTGAGGTGGCATGCATGTTTAGCAGTCGTTAACAAAATAATTCTCGCGTAATTTTAGTACCTCGGTGTTTTACGATAAATTACATCATATCCGACAGCAAACAAAAAAACGTAAAATTCATTAAG